TGTGTTGAGCCCAATCCAGCTCCTCACCAGCTTCTGTTGGTAGGTTGGCAGTGAACGTCGGCAGACCTCCAAGGTTGGGCTCCTTCCCATACAATGCTTGGAAAGGGGAAGTGTTTAGCAAGGAGTGATACATAGTATTGTACCAGAATTCCGCCGTCGGTAGCCACTTGCGCCATTTGGAGGGTGTGTCGTGGACGGCGCAGCGCAGGTACATCTTGAGGCACTGGTTCAGGCGCTCGCTTTGCCCGTCCGTCTGCGGATGGTACACCGTGGAGTAGCTCAGCTTGGTGCCAGCAGCTGCGAGGATGGCATGCTACATGTTACTGGTGAAGATGCTATCCCGGTCGGAGACGATGGAATGGGGAACTCCATGTAGCTTGATGATGTTGTCCCAGAAAGCACAGGCCACCGTTGCCGCCGTGAAGGGATGACGAAGGGGCATGAAGTGTGCGTACTTGGTGAACCGGTCGACGACGACCATGATGACTTTGTAGCCTTCGGACGCAGGTAAGCCTTCAATGAAATCCATGGTGAGGTCCTGCCAGGGCTCCGTGGGCACGGGAAGTGGTTGCAGGAGACCCGGCGTCTTGATGTGTTCATGCTTGGCGTGCTGGTAGATGGCGCACTGGTGCACGAATTCCTCGACCGCCTGTTTAAGGCCACGCCAGGCGAAATCTTTCTTGAGGCGCTGGTAAGTGGCGGTCACGCCGGAGTGGCCCCCCACTGCGCTTGCGCGGAAGGCATGGATTAGCTTGGTTTGGAGGGCGGAGTTGGCCCCAATCCAAAGCCTGTCATGGAGGCGAATGACGCCTTGCCGGAGCTCGTAGCCTTGATCGTCAGGGTTGGAGATGGCCAGGCGTTGGAGAAGATCTTGGGCATCGGCATCTGTCTCGTAAGAGTTGGCCACCTCTTGTAGCCACTGAGGTTGGCATGTGGACAGGGCATTGATGGCGAAGTGGTGGCCGACACGCGAGAGGGCATCGGCAGCGCCGTTCTCGACGCCGTGCCTGTACTTGAAGGAGAACTGGAGGCCAACTAGCTTGGACATAGCCTTGCGCTGGAGCTCCGTATCCAGCTGCTGCTCGCCCAGAGTACACAAGCTCTTGTGGTCGGTGACGATGACAAACGGAGCACGCTGGAGGTAGGAGCGCCACTTGTTGACGGCCATGATCACGGCGAGGAACTCCTTCTCGTAGATGGAGAGACGCTGGTTCCTTACCCCCAAGGCCTTGCTAAGATAAGCCACGGGGTGGCCATCCTGTACCAGCACTGCTTCGACACCGGTATCGCACGCATCTGTCTCGATGGAGAAGGGGCGTGTGAAATCCGGCAATGCGAGGACTGGGGTGTTGACCATTGCGTCCTTCAGAGCATCGAATGCCATTTGAGCCGGCTCGGTCCAGGCAAATCCTTTCTTGGTGAGGAGCTGGGTCAGTGGCTTGGCGATGATCCCGTAATGGGGCACGAACTTGCGATAATACCCTGTAAGTCCGAGGAAGCCGTGCAATTCTATTGCATTTGTTGGTGTAGGCCAATCACGCATTGCGCTTGTCTTGCTTGGATCCGTGGCCACTCCTTGTTTGGAAATCACATGGCCCAGGTACTCGATTCGGGGCTGGGCGAACGAGCACTTTGACAGCTTTGCATATAGTCGGTGTTGCCAGAGAATGCCGAGGACTGTCCGAAGATGCTCCACATGCTCTTGTAGAGAGCAAGTAAAGACCAGGATGTCATCAAGAAATGAAATGACAAACTTACGGTTTGGCCCGGAGAGTACTGAGTTCATCATGCATTGAAACATTGGTGGCCCGTTGGTGACGCCGAACGGCATGACTCAAAACTGAAAGTGCCCATGATGTGTTTTAAAGGCTGTTTTCTCTTCATCGCCTTCCCTCATGCGTATTTGGTGGTATCCAGCTCTCAGGTCAATCTTGGAAAAGAATGCCGCCCCCGCGAGTTCATCCAATATTTCATCGATGACCGGCAATGGAAACTTGTTTTTAATTGTGACTGTGTTGAGGCGGCGGTAATCGACGCAAAACCGCCATGTCCCATCTTTCTTCTTCACCAAGAGCATGGGAGCCGCGAATGGACTCATACTGTGAGTGATCAGCCCAGTGCGCAACATTTCAGCTACTTGTCGTTCGATCTCATCTTTTTGCAAGGGAGAGTAACGGTAAGGTCGACAGTTAACGGGAGCGGCTCCTGGTTCGAGGTTGATGGCATGATCATACTGTCTGTGAGGAGGAAGTGTTGTTGGTTCCTCGAATACGTCACTGAAATCTGTAAGGATTTGCTTGATAACATGAGGAAGATGAGCTTCTGGATTGTGTGAGGGCAAGGTCTGTAACTCCACAAGAGCAGCTCCCCAAATCTCATTTGCTTCCTGCATCTGCCACAACTGTGATGCATCCAAGGCTGTGATGGCTGGTGTCTCATCCGATCGGACGCCGGTGAGATGAACGGCTGCACCTTCGCTGACAAACTGCATTGTTTTCAGTTTCCAATCGCACTGCATCGGACTATGCTGGGCAAGCCAATCCACTCCCAAAACTGCGTCGTAGACCCCGAGTTGCAGGACTCTCATGTCTGTAGCGAACTTGTGACCTTGAACTGTCCAGTTCAGCTTCGGAACAAGTTTAGTGCATTGTAAGTTTTGCCCATTGGCTACTCTGACAGCAATTGTGGGTATCACCGTTGTCGTTGCAGCAATGCGTTGAGCAAAGGAGACATTACCAAAACTGTGTGTACTGCCAGAATCGACCAACAACAGCATAGTTTGGTTCCCAACCGTGGCACGCAGGCAGATAGTTTCTGCAGCATCGGTGCCATCGACTGCATTTGCTGACAGTAAACAACACGACAGATTTGCTGCCGCCGGCTCGTCCAACAGCTCAAGAGCACGCACAACCTCATTAGATAGGACTTCACCGTGCTCTCCAACCTCGATGATCAACAATTGGGCGGAGCACTTGCACTGGTGCTCTCTGGAAAATTTCTCTCCATAGCGAAAACAGAGGCCATGTTGTCTTCTGTAATCCCGTAACTGTCGCTCTCTGCCGAAGTCGTCTTCAGCTGGTTTGGCGGCTGCGATCAGTTTCGGTGGGTTCCCCGCTGGCAACACGGTTGTTGCTGGCGCTGGGCGTCCCTGTGTTGGTGCAGTGTAAGGCAGTGGAGGCGGTCGACCTGCCGGCAATGGTCGAGACTTGGGGTGTAGATTCGCGAGCTCTTCTTCTTGGATTTTTGCAAAAACTGTTGCCCGGGTGATGCTGTTTGGTGCTTGAAGGCGTACAGCCACGCGAAGCTCATCCTTGAGCCCCAGAAGAAATTGTGTAACAAAGAATTTGGGACTCAAGGTTGCATCCAGGGCTAGTAAGTTGTACATGAGAACCTCAAACTGTTGTCTGTACTCTGTCACTCCCCCAGTCTGTCGCAATTGCAAGAGATTGTGCATCAGGGACTCAAATTCGTCCGGTCCAAACTCCTCCTCAATTGCTTGCCGGAACATATCCCAACGGAGAATCGGATTCTGCTGTCGAAATGCCCGCAACCAGAGGGCGGTGTGCCCCTCCACATAGAGCGCTGCGGTGGTCACCCAATTGTGTTCCGGCACATGGTAGAGCTCAAAATACGCCAGGCATCGATCCAGCCAGACGCGCGGGTATTCCCCTTCGAAGCGAGGGAAATTGTGCTTCGGTGGCTTGGAGAAATAATCCTCGCGTGACTGTTGGTGATAAGCATGCTCTGGTGGTGGCGGCTGCTCAGGTACTGGAAGCAGCGGCGGACCGTCGTTGGCCAGGCGTGCGCGCGGCTGACCGCCGGCTAGCGCCTGCGGATGTGGCAACACGTTCGGAGGCGGAGCCACGCGCGGCTCGATTGGCGGTGGCGGTGCCTGATGCTGCGGTCGCTCCTTGGGCGGCAGCGTCTGAAGCACGGCCGCAGCCGGATCGTCGACGCCAGATCTGGCGGAGAGGGCCGACGAGTGCGAAGAGGACGCCCCCTTACGAACGTCGTCGACCTCGGCTTGGGTGAGCCCGATCTGTTTCGAGAGACTCTTGAGCTCGTGGGAGACCTGGCTATTGAAGGCGGCCTGCACCTCGGCGCGCTTCCCCGCCTCCACCTTCTCCTCGTCGAAGCGCTCGAGCAGCTTCTCCATGAGGGCCGCGAGGTTGGAGGTCTGATTCTCCATGACGGCCATGAGTTGCCGCGTCTGCGCAGAAGGCTTGGACGGCGTCGTGACTCCCACTCCGAGTAAATCGAACCCCGCACAGGATTTTGCGCGAATTCACCGAAGCGAATCCGCACCTGATGCAGTGGATGTTACCAATCTACCAAGAGGATGTGGGGCGACGGTGCGGATCAGCAGCGGAGGGAAAAAAATTGTGGCCTCTGATACCAATTGTGACGACCGATGAACCCTAGAAAGGGGATCGATCGCACGGGAAGAATAGAGGTAGGTGAGGAGAGCAGGGAGGGAGGGAGACGAAGGGGAACGAGAGAGAGACTTCCAGTGTTATCTCATTTCATACCCGATCCAGAATTGCAGACTGGTTTATGTAGCACACCACACACTGGCCACATGCGGCCCAATAGCCCACCCAGGCCTCGGCCCAGCACTTGCACTTAGGCTGCTCTCCTCACCTTTCATGTGTCCACCGATACACTTGAAGAGAGGCCAGAATCGTCACCCAAGTGGGAGGAGGAAGAGAACTATTTGGCCTTCACCAACTTCACTTTCCCCCGCCAATTCTCTGCCCCTTGCTGATACCGTGATACGTGACGCTCGCTCTCCCCAGCCGTCGCTACAACCTTTATTTACAGCCTCACCTCGAGGCATCTCTCCACCATTGCTTTTTCTGCCATTTTAACCCCGCCCGCCTCCTCTTCACTCGTATCGTTATTCCCTCCTGTCCGTCCCGTTCTGGCTGTACGCGTCCTCCCTGCCTGTCTGTACTGCGCCGCCGCCGGCCGGTCTGGCCCTCAGCTCGCATCTCGGGGACATGTCGAAGGTTCGTGCCAGGATTCTGGGCTGAATCCCCTTGGATCTTGCTTTAGAATCCAACACCTATTGCTTTTATCTGCACTGCCTTCCGATCTTTGCTCGACATCTGTACTCCCCTGCTTCAGCTCTGCTCAGCAGAACGCCATCTTGATGATCACGCTAGCTGTTTGGTTTTGCTGCAGAAAATTGTGGTGAAGCTGGAGGTGAACAGCGGTAAGGATAAGCAGAAGGCCATGAAGGCCGTCTCGGCGCTCGTCGGTACGAGCAGCAATATTTTGTTTTATCGCATGGCATAAGAGCTAGCTGAAGCAAGCAAGGAACCGACGTTGTGATCTGTCTCGTGTGTGCAGGCATAGACGCGCTGTCCGTGGACATGGGCACCCGCAAGATGACGGTGGTCGGCATGGTGGACCCGGTGGACGTGGTGAGCAAGCTGCGCAAGGGGTGGTCGGCGTCCATCGACTCGGTCGGCCCGGCCAAGGAGCCCGAGAAGGAGGGCGAGAAGAAGGACGGCGCCGACGCCAAGAAGGAAGGGGAGGGGGAGAAGAAGGACGGCGACGGCAAGGACGGGGCCAAGAAGGGCGACGGCGAGGCGAAGCCGCCGCAGCCGACGGAGGAGCAGCTCATGGCCGAGTTCATGAACCAGTACAGGTCGGCTTATTCGGCCTACCACAACCCCTACATGAACAGCCACTACGTGGTGCAGAGCATGGAGGAGAACCCCAACTCCTGCACCATCTGCTAAGAACGCGACCGCTGCGTGATGTGATTGTGCCAGAGTACGTGTGGTACAAAGACGCTGCTTGCTCTCTTCTCGCGTGTATGCCGTTTCTGTGCAGAATGCAGTTATGGGCAGGGAGGCCATTCACGTGGAAAACTTTGCTGTATGGGACAATTATAACTGTAATGACCTGTGACGGCAATTTTCTTTAAATATGTACTCCCACCGTAAAGAAATATAAGAGCGTTTAGAATACATATTATGAAAATATGCGCCACCCATGTTTGAAGATCCACTGATTTGCGGTTTGCGGCTTCAAACTACAAAATGGATTAGTCTCACATTCTCTTTGCGAGGGATTAGTATCATGTTAACGATTATACTCCAACGGTGCATAAGTTGGACTCTCTCCATTCTAAACTATTTGAAGTTTATTTGCAAAAATAAATAAATTATTTGAAGTTTAGTCTTTCCTTAAGTCAAATTTCTTTAAGTTCTTTTCTTCGTCTTTTCAAAAAGGAGGAATACCCCAGCCTCTTCATCAAGCAAAAAAAGAAGACTTCTTTAAGTTCATTCAAATTTAAAGGGAATTATATTAACATCTACGCACACTATCAAATTAGTTTCATTAGATTTGCCATAAGATGTTTTTTTTCATATTATATACTCCCTCCGTCCCAAAACAAGTCACTGATTTAGAACTAAATCAGTGACACTTATTTTGGAACGGACAGAGTATATTTGATGTTGTAAATATTAGCTTCTATACATTTGGTCAAAACTAAAGAAGTTTGTCTTGGGAAAATTTTGGGACTTCGAGTAATTTGGAATGGTGGGACCAGTGGCGTAGTTTTGATGCCTCTTTTTTCTAATGCAAATCTGGCTAAGCCAGTCATGTAGATTTTACAGTTTGATATTCAAATCTTAATATAGCACATAATGCCAACCAAGAAAGAGTTCTAGCTGACCTCTCCATCTATGACATAAGAGCAAGAATGTATGTTGGTAATCAAGACAAAGAAACAAAACGAAGATATGTTAAGAAGAAGCGACTAGGAACAAACTACCAAGCCGACACTGTTGACACATCTCAGTCGTGGATAAGCATACCTAGCATTCTAGGTTTAATTAATGTTCAAAAACTACATCATTGCACAGGAGATGCTGATCAAATTGGACATCATATGAGCAGCCAATACCTTTCGCCCAGGATTGGTCCAATAGAATTAACCACGTCCAAGTAGCACTAGACTACTATCAGTGACCGAATGTACCATTTGGCACACTCATTTGGACCCAAATTCACAGTGGTTAGTTACACACATGTACGCAATGACCTAACTTAAAATTACCCTTCGTAAGAGTACTACAAACCATAATACAAACAGCAAAAACCAGGGACCGCCAGCGATAAGCCAAGCCAGACTCAACTGCTGCTTTCCAATGGAAGCGACATAAATCCATGAGATCACCTATTCTGGAAGCATCGGGTCAGATACATTTTCTTTTTGAGCTAAGAACCGTGGAACAGTTGTTCTACGGAACTTTTCCTATGCATAAACCAGGTAAATATTTACAAGTACAAAGCGTCGGAAAAGAAAACGTTTAGCCAATTCCAGCCCGAGGAAACATGGAGAAACAAGATGAGATGCTTAAATCAGACCAGCAACATCACAGAATTGAAGGGGTTGTTCTTGAAACAGTCTGCATTCTTCTTTGCATCCAAACGTTCCAGCAGCCTGAAACAGAAACACCCGTCTCAATCTTGGGAGGTCACTTGTTGCATGCAAATGGAACTTCATCAAACACTGAGAGCCCCCTGGAATAAAAGCCATTTCTGCAGGGAACTAGGCATGGCATTCAGAAGTTGCAGGCCATAGGGAATGTTTTAGCAAAAGCGATTTGTCCTACCGGAATAAAATGTTATGTGCTCCGTCGAGTCGGACGATCACGACGTTTGAGGCATGTGAGAGCTGGGAGCTCTGTACAATGGAGTGCAGTGCGCAGATAAACACTGATCAGCGAAATCCTCTGAAGAAAAATTCAGGAAGGATACTACAAATGCGCGACTGTTGTTGTTTACTAGGAGTAGATCCTAAGGCTAGGAATAACAGGGTTCAGAATCCGGACACTAACCAACCTACCTGCGAATGATTAGCGCGCGCGACTGCTTGAGTGCCACTCAGATATGGTATCTTCTGTTGGGGCCGGTGTCTCACAATTTTATTTTATTTTTTCGAAAAAACTTCTAATCTATATTCATCTTCAATCGTGCTAATACAATAAAAATCAGAAATAATAAAAATTATATCAAATCCATAGACAATCAGGAAATCGTAATGCTAAAACCTCATAGGACCAACAGATCAGAACATCAACCACCTCCGATAAAAAGTAACCTAGATTAGAAGGATCCAATTTAAAAACACACGAACATAGAGGAACAATTACCATATCCGAGCAGACCCACAAAAGACAAATTCACTGGTGACACGTCTCCACACGCCCACAGACAATGCTAGACGCACCACCAGAATGGGGCTAGACGGGGAGAATCTTATTTCATCTTTAAGGAAACGACGTCGTCTCTTCTTTCTGAGCAGGATACAAAATGTTAGAGTTGTGTCGAATATTGTATACAAGTTAGGTTACAATTGGACTCTGAGTTGTATTGTGTTTAGATAGGATATGGAGTCGTGTCCTAGTAGGACACTTGTATCCTAGGCCTCTCATATATAGCGGGGCTAGACACACGATGTAACCTATGCCAACATAATAGCACCGGAACGCAGGGGAAGCCGGCGGCATGTGCCGGTGTCCAGGGCGACCGGGTGCGGTATTGTAGCGGTGCCATGGGGAGGAGCGCCCATAGTCAAGCCCCGGGGATGTAGCCATATCGGTGAATCTCGTTAACAAATCTCGGTGTCGTTCTCGTGTGATTGCTTGGTCCGACGGTGTGCCTTGGATTTATTCTAACAAGTGGTATCATGAGCAAGGTTCGAGAAGGCCACAAATCATTGATCTAAAGAAAGAAACAGATGGATTCCTGGAATCAGTCGACCTCGGTGGCGGACGGCGACCGAACAGAAAAAACTGATGGCGCGGCGAGATGTTCTGTTCGGGTAAGCAATCGGAATCAGCCTGTGCTTGGAAACAGATCGGATCGATCTCGATTGATGGATAGCGTGGAGTGTCTACGGCAGCAAGGAGCAGCGAAGGTACCGACCCAACGTGCAGAATCCGGCTGGTGGCGCGTGACCTAGGCGGGGCTGTAGCCGTGGCCCAGAGGCTAGCGGGAGCCGCGTCCCCAGGCAGTTTGGTCATCGGGGAGCACGAAGACGACATGTTCGCGTGGGAGCTCCGTCCATGACGTGTGCTATTGTGCGTTGCTGCTGCCTAGAGTAGAACCAAGAGGCAGGCACGTGGAATCATCATGCTAGTATTTGGGCTGTTGTAGACATCGTAAGGATTTGTTTGAGAAAAAGAATCGGCACAAAGACCAGTCAAGACCGGGATGCTATCAAGAAAGAAAAAGAGATAAGTCCAGTAGCTATATATGTGTGGTGTTCATACGGGAAGGCTGTGAGGGATTTTGATTTGGTTTTCTTTGCTGGTACACTTCTGTGTATGGATGGCGTTGATTACGGTGAAGGCTTGAGGAGTCTGGAGCGTGTCGTTGCAGTCGGACAAGGGCGACCGGGTCAGACTTGTCAGTCTGATGGATCGACGCAAGTCGATTGATACAGAAGACGATGTGGGATCGGCGACGACGACATAGGAGCGTGGTGCTGATGGTGACCATTTTCTGGGCATGGAAAACACGCGGCACGGGCCTGAGTGCTTGTGTGACTTCGACAAGACTATGGCGCGGGGTTGATTCAAGATGACGTACGCATGTGAGCTTCGGGCGCGAGGATGAACTGATCATCTACCATGGAGTCATGTTGAAGGTGGAGCTGGATTGAGGGGCTACGATGTAAGTATCCAGAGAATCGAAGCCTATTCAGCAAGGGGGGAAAGCGAGTGACATGCAGTTCGGACTGGAGCTCAGTGGTCTGATGAAAGCGTGAAACTCATCACCGATCGGCGATGATGGGTGGTACTCTGCAGTGGGGGTTGAGTGGTGTGGGTTCGCGACCCTTGAGACTCGACCGGGACAGCGGAGGCTCGACGCGGTAATAGCCGCGAGGCGTGCGGTATGCACGGGACGTGGAGACGGGCCAGGGCTCTGGTGGTTATACATGTGATGAGACAACTACAAATTTGACTCAGGATGACTACAAGCAACGGTGAAATTCTTTCAAGTTTCAGATAGGCGGTCAAGAAAGAAGCGATGATGTTGAGTTCAGGTAATTCTTATGTGTGACGCCCAATATGTAAGTTGTTTACTTTCACGCAGGTCAGTGGTCAGTGTGTGATGGCGTTGGACGGATACTCTGGAAATTGAGAACACAAACTAGAGTAACAAGGAACTTAATTTTGCTCGAGTGTTGACTGTTGTCAAAAAAGAAGGGACTACAAGTTGCAGGTGGAGTCATATGGAGTCTTTGGAATAGTAGCGGTGCTCATGGGATAAGCTCAAGTCCAATGTACATGGAAGTTTGACGCATTGACAAATTCAGGATGGTGGAGAATATTCGCCAAGGTGGAGTTTGTTAGAGTTGTGTCGAATATTGTGTACAAGTTAGGTTACAGTTGGATTCTGAGTTGTATTGTGTTTAGATAGGATATGGAGTCGTATCCTAGTAGGACATTTGTATCCTAGGCCTCTCATATATAGCGGGGCTAGACACACAATGTAACCTATGCCAACATAATAGCACCGGAACGCAGGGGAAGCCGGCGGCATGTGTCGGTGTCCAGAGCGACCGGGTACGGTATTATAGCGGTGTCATGGGTATTCTAACACAAAACCAATAAACCTCAAAGAAACATCTAAAACCGAAATCCTCCCGTCGACAAGGGTCGGGATTCATCGCGCCCCTATGGCCTTAAAGCCACCAGAGACGAGACAAACTAACAGC